TAACAGGGATTAAGGTATTGAGAATGGAGGACAACACGTTAGGGGTTACACATTTGGTCCACCAAAAAATAGAATTTCTCAAAATTACAAGTGCTTCAACATCAATAAAGAAAAAGAAAATATAGCGTTTTAGAATTACACGTTCTTCAACATCAACAAAGTGAAAGAGTTTTAGATGTGGACAAATGAAAGTGGTCAGTAGTTACTTTCATCACACGTTTATTATAAGACAAGACCGTTGGAGAATCTCATCAATTGTGTCATTTTATTTACTCGTTTTTTAACACTAAGGGTGTGTTTGACACCCATTTTTTGAAGATGAAAATTTTTAGAATAGTGATTGATGGGAGAATGTGTGGTGGAAAAATTATAAAAAGTTTTAGATTTGTGTGTAATATTATTTTATTGGAAGAATATGTAGTTGAAATGAAGTAAGAGAAAAAAACAAGAATAAGATAGAGAATGGGTGCCAAATATGGGCTAAGTATTCAATTGTTTATATTTCATTTTGTAGCAACCTATATCCCTACCCGACATAATTGTCAATGATTTTGCTACTTGTACATAATAAATTACATAATATGATATGAATGGAAAATATTAGGTGAAAAAGTTGATTGTATTTTAAATTGACAGATGATAAAGTTACATGACATTATGTAAGTCGTGATGTATATGTGGGAAGATCCAATTGTCAATTTGAAAGTTACGACTTGTTTGAGCTATTTTTTGGGAGTATATATTTTGGTGTAGTAATTGTTTAAGATAATTTATGATTATAAAGTAGAAACGAATTTTATATTTAAGTGTAAAATTATTTTATTATATAATTGAAAGTGAGTTTAATGTAAAATGGATTTTTAAAAAATAAGGGTCAAATGGGGGCTTAGAATTGTACACAATTTACGTAACTCATAGCTAACATTAAAAGTTGCATACAATTTTAACCTCCACTTTGATATTTTTAAAACAAGGATCCACACTCTTTCTTTTAAAAGTAGGATGTCCAGCTCTAATTTTTCCTCTGTGTGCACGTATTTTTGTGCTTTGAGAATGCTGGGCTCAACATGGATAGCCTTAGCTGATCGAGTAGGGCCTACAAAATAATAGTATCCTATTTTGTAGAGATTTTTTGATAATAAATTTTGTGAAAAGTAATTTTTTAAGAATGTGAGGTTAAAAAGTAAGAAAAAAACTATAGATCCACATGCAAAATTATTTTGTTAAGAGATGTATAGTTGAAAATAAGTTTACGATAAGTTGAACTTTAAAAAATAGGGACCAAATAGGCAAGGGCGGAGTAGTGAGATTTAAAAAAAAAAAAATTAATATTGAACTAATACATAGAAAAAAATTCTATTCATCTTTTTTTTTTTTTTTTTAACCATGACAAAATTTATTGAGCCATACTTGCCCCTTGGCAAACAGGAATAATGTTCTTTTTGAATTAAGAATAGGACTTTGCCAGTTTGTTAGGAAAAATTAACCGATATGGTGATATAATTCGAGGTGACAGCTGATGATTCGATGAAAAAATTATATCACTATAGCATGATTCTAAAGAATATTTCCCGGTACAAGATTGAATAGGCATAAGCTCCCACAACGGAGCTTCTCATGGCCAGTAAGTCGTAAGGTTATAAACCTATTGTACAATAGGCTATGCTTGGTGTGAATTATAATTAGTTTTATTAAATTTTAATAAAAGTTGATGAAATGTGTGATTGCAAATTTTTGGATCCCATGAAATATGTATTTAAAATTAATTGTCGGCTTTAACCTAAATTAAAGTATAAATTTTAGAGTGTTTGGTAGGGATTTTTGGGGGAAGAACTGATTTTTGAATAGTGATATGATGGGAAATGTGTGGTTGAAAAAGAAGAAAAAATTATTGATGTGATAGAAAATATTGTTTTACTGAAAAATGTGTGGTTGAAAATGAGAATTGCTTTACTGTAGAATTTGAGAATAAAAAACAAACATGCCCTTAATTTGATAACATTATTATTAATATTAAAAAGCTGAATTATGACCTAATTTTTGAATAAATAAGTTTTAAATTTGACTTTCGAAGTTCGAATTAAAAA